AGAAATTTATTTACTAAGGGGAAAACCCCAATAAAATATCAGAGGATGGTGAAAATTAATAGAAAAGCTTTTCAAATATTCTAGTTTTTATGACGAATGATATCCTTTGCTTTTCTTAAGTTACCAAAGAGGCCCAAGTTGAAGAAGCCGAAGGAAACCAGGACTTGACTGACAACAGTTCATTAGGTGAGAAAAGCAGTTAAATGCCTTTCAGAAATCGTTCACTTGTGCAGACTTTGTACCGATGATGAACAGAAATTATTGAAAATATTGTTAATTAACTTATCATTCTGAAATTTTTCCTGGACCAGCAGGTCTAAATACTCGCGGCACTCCTCACTTGTTTGTAATTTCCCCGCCCATAGGATACCACTTCAGTAGGTTCCATGTCTGATATGGGTACTTGACCATACGCCAGATATCTTTTATTTGATGTGTTGTGACAAACTAGACGTAAATTTATACTCAACTAAACTATTAACACTCCTTCCTCTATGTGCCCCCGCCTAAACGTAAACTTATATTTTACTGACCTGAGCTAAACTTAAACAGACAACAGACCTTGCAGATACATTAAACTAAACTTAACCAAGAACGCATTTAACCCAACTTATATTAGATACAACTTTTGGTTATAATTTCAGCGGCAGACAAAAGTGAAGCTTCCTCAAGCGATAACGGAGTGGATTTTTCTGCTTCGTTGTCCGTAGCAGGTAGATAGGACTGACTTGGGTTAGAATCAAACATATTCATCATGGGAAAAAATCTCTAATGGACTCCATGTAATTAATTGTTACATGACTCAGGTGGTCCTGGCTGGGAAAAGTAAACAGAATCTAAGATAATGAAAACATAAATAGTAGCCATAATATGATGATGTTGATGACCGTGAAGACAGTGATGACGATCATTCAAACCTTTTTTTTTTTTTAATATTCGACTTGAGGAAAATTCAAGTTCCATCATTTGGAAAAATAAAAGATTTAGAGATCGGCAGTTCCGCAAGTACAGAATAAAACTGTAAATAGTGTGGAAGTATATTGTAATCATAAGTCTGGTTTATTATTTAAATTTTGGTTTGAAATGAATTAATAGGTAGCCACATCTAATTCAATGATCTAATGCTTGAGAACTCAGCAGCAATAAAAAGCAAAAATCACTAACAAACTGGGGTGAAAAGAGTGTAATTATTTTTCTTGATGTATCATATTTGACGTTCTATATAAAGTAGGGAGATTAATTTCTATAAATGTATTATTCTTCATTGTTTAAAGGAAAAGTCCAAAGCACAACCCAATATGTTTGATTCTATCCTAATTTTTAGCTACTTCGGAAGGGAAAGATTCAGCAAACCAAGAAAAGGTGAATTTGGAGGATGAGCTTTTATCAGGTGAGAGAGATAAAACAGCAAATGAATGGCACTTCTCAAGTTTGTGAGATAAAAAAGACCTATGAAAATAATTAAAACACAAACAACTGAATCATTACGGCTAAAAGTTCTCTTTGCTCAAAGTAAAATCAGCAAACAAACAAAAAAATGGCGAAATGTGTTTTGCGCCGATCTTTTTACCACAACTCCCAACAGAAGTTTTTTTCTCTTTCAATGGACAGATACTTATCTATTTTGATAGTCTAACAGGAAAGTTGTCAACTAAGCTATCATGAAAATCCCAATTGACCGTAAATGGTTTCCTTTTGTGACATTTATTATTCTATGACTTTTATTATCCTGTCAAATTTATCAAGAACAATTCTGATAACAGTAATGATGATAATGAAAGCAGAACTGATGGATAGCAACAATGATAATGGTAATGATCATCATTTAAACAATCTGTTGTTTATACTTTTAGAGCAGGAGAAAAGTCAAGTCTTATCCTCTGGAATATCAAAGGATTTAGAGATCGGCAGTTCAAAAGGTACAGGATTATAACTTCTCTTGGTGTGCGTTTATTGTTATAATGGCTGATTTATTGAGCGTCTTGGTTGCTTTAAATCAAAATTCAGTAGCACCTATTTTAATGGTTAACAGCAATAAAAAGCAACAATAGGAAAACCTTGGGCCAAAAAATGCTACATTCATTTTTCTTGACGTATTGTATTTATAAACGTATTTGGTGGTTGCTTTCTAAAAATTTATTATCCTTCATTGTTTTCAAACAGTTTCCAAAGCACAACCCAATGTGTTTAATTATTTTCTATTTTTTTAAGGTTCGTCCGAAGAAAAAGTTAAAGCAATCCAAGAAAAACTGGATTTGGATGATAAACTTTCTTCAGGTGAGAGAAATAAACAGAAAAAAGATAGTGGTAATTTAAGTTTGTAACCACTGAATACAACACGCGCGATAAAATCAAACACACCGTCGAACAAACTGAACTCTGAAAGTGTTCTTCGTTCAAATAAATTTGTGTTCTTCGCTATTTCAAGATCATTTTACATCCAAGAAGGAATCAGATGACGATGGAAGCAAATCAAAAGGTACAAGAGATCAATGTAAAACTAATAAATGTAAGCGTAAGTCCGAAATTAAATCAAAATCCGAATCCTGGTATATGTATTAGAGGTTGAAAAAACAAAAGTCATCATAGGTCGTGAGTGTTTTAATTATTAATATGTATTGGTATTTCAGTTGGAAAAGAGGACAACATGGCAGCTGATGAAAACGTGGCTGCTGCTGACAACGGTTCCCCAGGTGAGGGAAAAAATGAGGCTTTATCAGATTTTTTCTATGATTGTAACGATCAGTGAGTGGAACAAAACTGAAAAACCACGACGGGTCACGGTCGCTCTGACGAAGGGCTAACACTCGAAACGTCGGCTTTTAAATTCTTGAAACGGTGAAATTACCCTGTTATACTCTCCCACCGACGCAGCAGTACAGTTCCTTTAGAAACTTACCCCACTAATTACAGGTCACAAATCATTATATTATTATTATCACCCGTTTCATTTTAGTTATCAAAGAGACACAAGTTGAGGCAGCTGAAGGAAACAAGGACTTTCCTTTCAACAACTCATTAGGTGAGAATCGATCGTTGCTCAGCTTTTTTGTATGTGCCATAACACAAGAGCTTGCATTGGAAGAGTTTGTCAACAAACAGGGTAAATTATATCATTAAACATACTAAGACCTTTTTCATCCAACCCTAAGGGTTTTCGCTCCAATCCTTATGCATCTTCTTTCTCTCATTCCAATCAATATCGTCACCAAATGAAGCGTTTTTAAACATTTGCACCAAATTAAAGCCCAAAAACTTGATCAACTTATCGGTCCTCACTCATCACTTGAAAGCCTCAAAACTGTTGTTACCAATCCAGAAAATCTTCCACTTTCCGACTTAGGGCTAGAAATCCGTCTACACTAAGGGCTTAAATTTTATTAACATTTTTGAAAAAACTTTAGTTAAGCAAAACGTCGAAAAATTTCTTCGCGCGTTCAATTTCATAAAGCCTTTTTCCATGACAAAGAGGGTGATTCTAACAGATTAGAAATCGGTACAGTTGTCCATTGGGATGCCAAAACAGATATTCCACTTCATCATGGGTCACTAAAATGGAAAATTGGTTCAGTTGTGACACGCGCAAATGATATCTTACATATCTTCGTTATAATTTCAGAGAACAAAACTTCAGATGATAAAGATGTGGATCTAGACGACGACCCCTTAGTAGGTAAGTGAGAAGACTAACGTGTTCCACAAGACGTAAGATAAGACAATCTGTAGTCATCTACTGTCCTTCTTACACTCGAAACAATTCAACCTTAGCTAGTAGAACGCTTTACGATTGAGTGTCGTAAAAGCGAAACTAAAGCAGCAAGTCACGAAAAGGAATTACTACAAGGAGCCGATGAGAAATTTAAGTGGAAACAAGGAAACTGCGCATACCTGACGCGCAGGAAAACAACAGCGACCCAGCCGCAATTCAACTTGTTATATTTTTTATGGAGGGTAAGTTTCTAGAGAAACTGTGGTGCTGCGTCGGTGAGGGAATATAACAATATAATATTTGGTTTTATCAACTGAGTTGATATTGTAAAATTTGCTACCGCAAAAAGTTTCAAAGCTGACGTTTCGAGCGTTAGCCCAGTTCGTCAAAGAGAATGACAAAGGGCTAACGCTCCAAAAGTCAGCTTTGAACTCTCTATGGTGGCCAATTTACGTTATCAACTCAGTTGATAATACTACATTACCTAGTTCTAGTGTGGAATCTAACTGACTGCGTGAGGGGCGCGAGTTTTTGAGCAATCCTTAAGCGAAAAGGAAAATCAAAGCAATCCAAGGTTATTCTCTACATTCAGTTGGAAATTTCTCTGTCGGAACGTTGCTGAAGATGAATCAAGAGTTTGAACTGATTTGGTGTAAATTGTCCATCTCCCGTCTAATAGAACGAAGTTGTTGAAAGGAAAGTGAATCTTTTTCCGAGAGTAACTTTGATCACCATTCTACTGCGCGAGAAAACATAGTCGCAATAGCCTTTCTTAAAAAAAAAGATCTATTGAAAAAGTGACGCACGCGTCTTGAAATACTCATTTGATGGAACGCTATGAACAGCATCTGCAAGAATGGCAAAAGAGGGCATGGTAACGAATCCTGCAATCTGATTAGTTTTTTACCCGGTCAGTATTTTCTTAGCTCTGCCCACGGGCAACGGTTACGCTTTCGCGAGTCGCCGAGTACATTCCTACTTTCCTTGCCATTTTTTATAAATATATCTCGTTTTGCCAGCTGGGCAGTATTTGAAGCAAAGACGTCGGTCACTACCTCAAGCCGATAAATAACTTATTAATCCTCTCTTTTCTCTCTCTCAAATCACTTCGGTTGACAGAAAAATATCGGTTTAAGAATGAATTGTATAAGCAATAATGTCATTACGTTGGTTGACAAGCGGCCTAAAAACCGCCTGCAATTAATTTTAATCGTTCGGATATTGTAAGTAATTAGTCATAACGAGTAATATTCCGGTGTTTCCTGTATTTTTAGTGAGAGCAAAGGATTGTTTTCAGCAAGGTAACAAAGAATACAGACAAGGAGATTTTCATAGAGCGCTACAACTGTACACTGAAGGACTTCAACTAAACTGCAAAGATAATCGGCTGACAGCCAGACTCTACAATAACAGGGCAGCAGCTCATTTCCGTTTAGGTATGGAATTTCAACGTTCAATTATTTATAGTTTACTTAAAAGTTCTTCTTCAAAGAGTCATGCTAATTATGCAAATTTTTCTGGTCGTTTATCTATCACTCCAAATGGGTTAAAGAACATCCAGTAATATAACGGCTACTTAAGATAAAGACTCCAAATCTTGTGACCTATAATGAACCGAAATCCCCGAGAAGAGCTTTATATCAGTCACGACCCTCTTTAATTTCACGTCGAGCGTTCAAGTTCAAGTGTTAGGTCCTAATGGTAAAAAAGGGGAAAATTAATAAACCAATCCCGTTATCACCTGCACTTCCCATATGTATTCTTCCCACCAAACCCTCCCTCCTCCCCCAGCCGCGTTATCGAAGGTTTATGAGGGGGCCCAAGTCTTTCCAAGGTGAAAGAAAACCTCGAATTAGTTGTAAAGAGTCCTGTTGAAAGGGAGTCGGTTACTCTTTTTGCAATTCTATCGAACGCAAATGACCTGTTAGCTCTAAATCCCTCCTTTAGAAAACTTTGAAAACAGCCTAGATGATGCCACAGTTGCTGTACAATTGGAGCCAACTTTCATCAAAGCCTTGGAGAAAGGTTAGTTTAATTTTAGTCGCCATTCAGTGGCGATAGCTCCCTGGCTACGTACGTTGAAGTAGATGTTTCTGGTTCAAATCTACGCGGTCACGCACCATAAATCTTCATTTGTGAATTGAAAATGCCAATATTTTGGCTTCTCAAAGAAGGCACTTAGCTATTTATCACTAATCCTTTTTTTTATAGGAGCTGAAGCTTGTGTGCAGCTTAAGTTGTATGATGAAGCAAAGATCTGGTGTCATAAAGGATTGGCCGTATCCTTTTGAAAAGTACATTCGTTTCTAAGACGTAAAAAACTCCAGTGATTACCACTTTAAGCTTAACTTAAGAAAATCTAGTGCAAATTTAAGACGTCCAATGATTTTCAAATTTTTCAATTTTGATTTAAAAGCTGAATTTTCGGTGGTCTCTAGCTGTCAGTTTCAGTCACTTTTCTCGGTGAAATATGAGTATGATTTATGTTAATGCCATTAAAACCAGTTCTTACACCATTTCCTGCTAACAACGCAAACGATATGACCCGAAATAACTAACGACAAATAGTAAAAGACTTTCCCAAGATGATATATTACTGTAGAATGGATATGATCGTACGATGCAGCTATTTATGATGCCAAACACTGACAGCTGTTAATGTCTTTTCCAAAAGGCAACGCGACGAAAGGCACTGCTTGTTGCCGTTGAGAATCTGACATGCGAAAGAAAATTCTATCTTATCAGCAGCCTCGCTAAGATTCATGTTTGTCCAGTTTTTCACACGTTAATGATCCGAACTTGTTATTCAAACAAATTGACAGGCTGCGAGCGGACGTTTCAAATTCCCCAGTATTTTACAAATGTACACGAGGAAGAGGCAGTCAGCGTTTCGAGCTCATTATTATAATTATTATCTGTCCTTCCCCCTCTCTCTCTCTCTCCTAACGGAATCAAGCCTCTCCCTCTGGTGACCAGTAATTGTAATGCGTTGTATTAAATTGCATCTTGCTTACTTTCATTGTTTTTAAATCTTTTAGTTCCTCGAGAACATAGCTATTTCGGGGGCGTTTCCAATATCATCTTATCTGCCCTCTTAACTCGGCACCAGGTCTCGGAAAGGGACAGCGAGCAAGTTAACTATCCAGTCACTGTATCCTCCCCCATTTTGAGATAAAAACGATGCTGCTGAATAAATAATGATATCAATTACAAATGAAATGTATAAATCCAACTGTTTCAAAAGGTCATCACACTCAATGAAAAACCAAGTGAGCTTGAAGGAAAAATGTGTCTACGCAGAGTCACGACTTGAACGCTTTGTTCGATCTCTCTCTCTCTCTGGTCCATTAAAGGCAATCTTTTTCTCCTTTTGCCAATTTCGACACTGTAGATCTCCTCTTCGTGGCTATACACCTCGTTAAGTTCTTGATCTTCTGTCGTTCCTGGCCTCTTATCCCGTCTACATCAAAAGGTTCCCTTTGGATCGTGCACACGCGTTACACTGGGTCGTTGTAGTAATTAGGATCTTTTAATCTCCTTGTCATCATGATTCTTGCGTTTTCACAGTTTTATCGCAATATCTGTTGATTCGTTCAGGAATGTTATCCAAAACCAAAGCCTCCTCAGCTGTTTTCCTTCCTTTCTTAAACGGCTTGGTCCAACCTTCATCAACATTCATTTCCTTTTTATCTGGCTGTTACGGTTGTATCTAATTGTCTTTCTTAGTCTGTGTGACGATAAAAGTCCTAATCCACTCGTTTTCCTTCAGATCTTGTTTCATATTTCTAAATTTATGCCATTTACATTTAATTGGTGATCCCTTATTTGCTCTTAAATTGAAAAGACTTTGAAACTTCTTGTCATTCATAATTGCCCTTTTTCTTGTGTCCCACCGAAACATAACATAATCCTTAGTTATTCAACCTTGTAGATTACATTTTTTTGATACTCAGTAGTCTTTGGAACGATGCTCTTTTACGAACGTTTTTTTTTCTTGGAGTGAATGGATACGGTTTCACTTCGTTAAAATTAATGTAAAAGAGCATGGAGTAACAAGTAAGGGACCGATATTTTAGGCAAGGCGAACAATTAGAAATGAAAAAAGGGGGTAAGTTTCCAAAGAAACTGTGGTGCTGCGTCGGTGGGAGAGTATAGCTGGTAATTTAGTGTTAACAACTGAGTTGGAAAAGTAAATTGGCCACCGTAAAGAGTTAAAAGGCTGAGCAATTAAAAAATCTGATAACTGTGCGACTTAATCGAATTACTGTGTGAACTGCAAAGAAAAGTTATCAAGATTGACAATTTTGTAAAAAAGGTGCTTTCGTCGAGTTCTCAAAAGCCGAAAAGGCACTCTGCAGGTAGAAGTCTTGCAGTGTCTAATAGACTTTCTCCTAAAAACTGGATGAAACACCCTCCCTAAGCATTCCACCTTTCCTCTCAGCAGTGTCATTTGACTTAACGCATTGAAGATGGACGATAATAGTAAAAGGTTGCGTCATCTATTAAACAAGTGTGGTAGTGAGACAATCGCATCCGGCGAGATAAAGCCACAGCAAGTAAAGGTAAATCTGACAACCATTACCTGAATTTTTTTTAAATAGAACTGATTAGGCAACCAGAAACTCTAAAGAGGTTAAAACGTGCATCTCGAGTTCACAGGTCTTGGTCGAGGGGCCAGTAACGAAAATCACGAAATTATATTGCTTAATCGTTACAACCGCAGGGGCCAATATTTTTCCAGTACTCACTCAAATAAAATCATCAAAACGGGGTTAGCCAAATCCTGAAGTCTTGTAAAATATACGTACGTTCTAAAGATTATAAATCGAAAAATTCTTATGGCTAGAACAAAAGCCTAGCTCTCTGTCTCTGTGTTTTCTTTGGAGTCTAGTCACTTTCACAAACTTAAGAACCTCGTTGAAAATCCACATCCAGGAAGGAATTCAGAGGAATTCTGTGCGAGTGGTTCTCATGGCCCAATTACAGAGGTCTAATAGGGAAAATACTTATCTCTGGCCTTTTTTAAAGACCCCGTTCGAACCTAAAACTTAGGGTCTAAATAAGTGCGTAATAAAACTTAGCAACACATTTCCAGACCATAAGGGAAACTCAAACCAGGAAAGGAGATGAACTTTATTCGTTTGTTTGATCGCGACATTTGTACTGCAATACTGCTAGTCTTAATTAGGCAGTGAGGTCGTTGTTTTCTATTTGTAGCGCGTTATTGTTGCTATTGGTGCATTTCGATCCTCATTATTATTCCGGTTGTTAGATGGTGTTCCCCCATAGGTCCTCATTAATCGGCTGTTGTGGTGTCTGATCGTCGAATAGACACTTAACAATATCACGCTTCACTGACTGAGGTTGGTGGGTGAATCCCCCCCTGGTACACACGTAGGGTTAAAGAGGCTATCCATATAAGACTTCATCTCAACAACATCAGTGGAGATAGTGGAATCGAAATTCACGAAGCTTGGATACTCACGATCAAACAACACAATAGCCGATCAAAGAGGACCTATGAGGGAACACCATCTAACAACCGGAATACTAATGAGGATCGAAATGCACCAATAGCAGCCGACTAACGTGCTACAAATGGCTTAAGGAGTAAGTTGGCCACCGTACAGAGTTAAAAGGCATACGTTCAGAGCGTCAGAGCAATGAAGACTAGCAGCATTGCAGTGGAATCGTCCCGATCAACATCCAAAGTGACTCGTGAAACAAAGGAATTCATTTCATCTTTTATCTTACACCACGATGAACAAAAAACGTATTTTATTACATCAAACCAGGAAGTAGAAATTACCAAAGATCTGGGAGACAAGACTGGAGAAGGAAGGAGTTATGGCAACCTTGGCAATGCTTATCTTGGTCTAGGACAGTTCAAAACAGCCATCGACTACCATAAACGTCATCTAGAAATTGCCAAAGAAGTGGGAGACAAGGCTGGAGAAGGAGCGAGTTATGGTAACCTTGGCAATGCTTATCATAGTCTAGGACAGTTCAAAACAGCCATCGACTACCATAAACAACATCTAGAAATTGCCAAAGAAGTGGGAGACAAGGCTGGAGAAGGAAGGAGTTATGGCAACCTAGGCAATGCTTATCATTGTCTAGGACAGTTCAAAACAGCCATCGACTACCATAAACGTCGTCTAGAAATTGCCAAAGAAGTGGGAGACAAGGCTGGAGAAGGAAGGAGTTATGGCAACCTTGGCAGTGATTATCGTGGTCTAGGACAGTTCAAAACAGCCATCGACTACCATAAACGTCTTCTAGAAATTGCCAAAGAAGTGGGAGACAAGGCTGGAGAAGGAGCGAGTTATGGCAACCTTGGCAGTGCTTATGGTAGTTTAGGACAGTTCAAAACAGCCATCGACTACCATAAACAACATCTAGAAATTGCCAAAGAAGTGGGAGACAAGGCTGGAGAAGGAGCGAGTTATGGCAACCTTGGCAGTGACTATCATGGTCTAGGACAGTTCAAAACAGCCATCGACTACCATAAACAACATCTAGAAATTGCCAAAGAAGTGGGAGACAAGGCTGGAGAAGGAACGAGTTATGGCAACCTTGGCAGTGCTTATCATTGTCTAGGACAGTTCAAAACAGCCATCGACTACCATAAACAACATCTAGAAATTGCCAAAGAAGTGGGAGACAAGGCTGGAGAAGGAACGAGTTATGGCAACCTTGGCAATGCTTATGATGGTCTAGGACAGTTCAAAACAGCCATCGACTACCATAAACAACATCTAGAAATTGCCAAAGAAGTGGGAGACAAGGCTGGAGAAGGAAGGAGTTATGGCAACCTTGGCAGTGATTATCATGGTCTAGGACAGTTCAAAACAGCCATCGACTACCATAAACGTCTTCTAGAAATTGCCAAAGAAGTGGGAGACAAGGCTGGAGAAGGAGCGAGTTATGGCAACCTTGGCAGTGCTTATCATTGTCTAGGACAGTTCAAAACAGCCATCGACTACCATAAACAAGATCTAGAAATTGCCAAAGAAGTGGGAGACAAGGCTGGAGAAGGAGCGAGTTATGGCAACCTTGGCAATGCTTATCATTGTCTAGGACAGTTCAAAACAGCCATCGACTACCATAAACAACATCTAGAAATTGCCAAAGAAGTGGGAGACAAGGCTGGAGAAGGAACGAGTTATGGCAACCTTGGCAGTGATTATCATGGTCTAGGACAGTTCAAAACAGCCATCGACTACCATAAACGTCTTCTAGAAATTGCCAAAGAAGTGGGAGACAAGGCTGGAGAAGGAGCGAGTTATGGCAACCTTGGCAATGCTTATCATGGTCTAGGACAGTTCAAAACAGCCATCGACTACCATAAACGTCGTCTAGAAATTGCCAAAGAAGTGGGAGACAAGGCTGGAGAAGGAGCGAGTTATGGCAACCTTGGCAGTGCTTATCATTGTCTAGGACAGTTCAAAACAGCCATCGACTACCATAAACAACATCTAGAAATTGCCAAAGAAGTGGGAGACAAGGCTGGAGAAGGAGCGAGTTATGGCAACCTTGGCAATGCTTATCATTGTCTAGGACAGTTCAAAACAGCCATCGACTACCATAAACGTCATCTAGAAATTGCCAAAGAAGTGGGAGACAAGGCTGGAGAAGGAACGAGTTATGGCAACCTTGGCAGTGCTTATGGTAGTCTAGGACAGTTCAAAACAGCCATCGACTACCATAAACAACATCTAGAAATTGCCAAAGAAGTGGGAGACAAGGCTGGAGAAGGAACGAGTTATGGCAACCTTGGCAAGGCTTATGATGGTCTAGGACAGTTCAAAACAGCCATCGACTACCATAAACAACATCTAGAAATTGCCAAAGAAGTGGGAGACAAGGCTGGAGAAGGAAGGAGTTATGGCAACCTTGGCAATGCTTATCATGGTCTAGGACAGTTCAAAACAGCCATCGACTACCATAAACAACATCTAGAAATTGCCAAAGAAGTGGGAGACAAGGCTGGAGAAGGAACGAGTTATGGCAACCTTGGCAGTGACTATCATGGTCTAGGACAGTTCAAAACAGCCATCGACTACCATAAACGTCGTCTAGAAATTGTTAAAGAAATGGGAGACAAGGATGGGATTGCCCAGGCTCTTTGTAGTCTTGCTAGAAATTTTGAAAGGCATGAATGTCTCCAAACTGCCCTCGACTATTATATTTCTAGTAGAGAGATTTTCAATAACGTTCGGGCTAGTTTTCTGTTGCACCATAACTGGAAGATTTCGTATCGAAATGTTCACAAAACAGCATACAATGGTGTTTGGCGCGTACTTTTACTCAAGGGTGAACACGTTAAAGCTCTTCTCGCTGCCGAGGAGGGACGTGCACAAGCTCTAAGAGATATCGTGGATTTAAAGTATAGCTTTCGACAAACCCTCACGTGGTCGAACTCTAGGAAATGCTCTGATTGTCTTTCATTAAGAAACGTTTCATCAGATGTAGTTTTCCTAGCAATTACTGGACCTTACATTGCTTTGTGGACTATTCGGAACGGGGAAGTCGTTCAATCGAGAATAAAGCATGTGAACAACTTTCTTTACCAACGTGAATTAGAAGTTTACATTACGTCTTTGAATAAGGCTGCTTCCTTGCAAGTTAGTGCAAGGGCTGCTGTTGAATGGGAAAAAAGTTCAACTCAAGTGGGCCGAGATGAAAAAGGAACGAGCGATGGTTCTCCGCGAAACGCGACGACAAATGCCCTGCGGAAGCTTTATGATATCATAGTTGCTCCTATCGCAGATCTGATTGATGGAGATGAGCTTGTATTTGTTCCTGAAGGTCCACTTTGCTTGGTGCCCTATGCAGCATTGGTGGATTCGAATTCAAGGTATCTGTGCGAATCTTTCAGGATTCGAGTAATTCCATCCCTAACCATTTTAAAATCAATCTCAGACTGCCCGACAGAATTGCACAATAAAACCGGTGCACTGCTCGTGGGTGATCCATGTTACAAGCAAGTCCTTTATCAGGGTGATTTGTTGAATCAGCTGCCGGGTGCAAGGAAAGAGGTGAAGATGATTGGAGGAATCCTCGGTATTGCTCCTCTCGTTGGAGGGGAGGCGACAAAGGAAGAGGTATTACGACGAATTTCCTCAGTTGCGTTGGTTCACATTGCAGCGCATGGTAAAAAAGAAACAGGAGAGATTTTCTTGGCACCAAACACAAGTAGGACAACCTGTCAAGCTGAAGAGGAAGACTATCTACTGACAATGAGAGACGTGTTACGAGCCGGGCTGCGAGCGAAACTGGTTGTGCTAAGTTGCTGTCACAGCGCTTGCGGTGAGGTTATGGCCGAAGGTGTGGTTGGCATTGCGCGAGCGTTCTTAGGCGCCGGTGCTCGATCGGTTCTGGTATCCCTGTGGGCCATTGATGACGATGGTACTCAGGAGTTCATGAAACATTTCTACGGAGCGCTGGAAGAAGGCAAGGGTACTAGTGAAGCTGTCAATCAAGCCATGAAGTGCATGAGAGAGTCTGAAACGTTCAGCAAAGGGTATTACTGGGCGCCATTTGTACTCATTGGGGACGACCTGAAACTGGAATTAACGGAAATTAAAAGGTATCCATCGTAAGTATGCCTTTAATTTTGCTCAATCAACGAAAAGTGAGATGTTAATTATCACCTTTTTGTTCCTTGAGGTCAAACTCAATTTCATGTCTTTTATCTTCATTGCGTTCCTGCAGCCGAGGTAGAGGGTGCGTAAGGATAACACAAAACAGAAAAAATACGTTTCTCGTTGACTTATTGCACTGCCTGTTGTTAATGCCAAGACTCGCAGTTTTTCTTTTGTAATAAAGCATGGTACTTAAATTTATTTTTCGAGGAATTCAAGAAAAATGTTCAATTTTGCGGCTCTTATACTTTTATTGTAGGTCATCACTGATGGATTTGTTTGAAGACAAGAGGAGACCCCAGGCGTTTGGTACTGACTAATGACAATCAAAACCAACAGAGGCATGCGGGGTGACAAATTTAATGTTACGCGGCGTTGAATTGCACTGGTTGAATCATTAAATAACCCGCATTGAGGCTATAATCAAATAAGCGATTTGTTACCATATCATTTAATAATAAACTGCCAAGTCAAATGATTAAGTTTTAAAAGGAGATTTTTTGCGGAGATTGAGTGGTGTTGCGGCCATGTTTAAGACAAGTTATGCCGAGAAAACCTTTTAATTAATCTCACATGGTCTTCGTAAGGATTATACAGCGATGTTTTCTAAATCATAAGTTAAATACGAAACTTTATGGCCATGTGAGTTGTGTATTTCAATTTCATGGCTCCAAGCATCACCTAAGACCAAGTTTAACCTTTGGTGTTTGGCATATCTTACCTTTGAATTTTTAACTTGTTGTACGTTGTACATATGATTGCTTTTTTTACATGCATTTGGACATGCATTTGATACATTTTGACTCACTGGATTGATAACTTAATTTTTTAATCTTGAAGCCTTTGCCAGCTTGGAAGAAATGTACTATCCAAAAAGACTAGAACAGGCATAAATCATGAACTGTGGAAAAACCGGAGTCCATTGATATTTACTTGCTACATAATCCAATTAAAATCCATTTCAGATCCTCGTTTCAGTTCTTCTTACTGTTTTTGCTTATTTCACGCAGTTTTCGCTCGGAAAATCGAGTGAAAAAGCAGGCGATGTTTTTAGATTATCACTCTTCTGCTTGATATTGCAAATTTAGTGTAAAAAGAACTTCTGAAAGAACTAAAACTAGAACACTATGAAATTCTTATTGTTACACCCCTTCACTCTTTCTAAATCTTTCCTTTTGCCCAATTAATTAAACAGGCTGTTAAATAACAAGGATTAGACCCACACCACACGTCTATTTCACTTGGAGGAGGGGAGCTGGTTCGAGTGAAAGAACGGTCAGCTTAAAAGGTCATTAAGTCTAAAACGAAATCTCCGTGTTTTTCCTACCACCCTGTTAAATAGGATACATTCCGCTAGCGACCATGACTGTGCTTTTAAATTGCAGCCAAGTATTTTTGCTCACCACTGGTTCACATGTTTCACACCAAATAAGCGGGGCTAGATTTCCGACACTTATCGAAATTTCAGGGTAGGGGCGCGGGCTCATTTCCTGAACAGCGAATGCTTTTCGATTCCAAACTGAAAATTGTTTACTGACAATTTGTTCTATTGACTTGCTCACCTAGACTTTGGGAAACATTTCAACTCTTTAACCCCTCGAAGCTACTATCATGTAAAGTCTCCCTTCAGTATCAAGCCGAGCCAAGTATTTAGGTCATGAGAATTAAGGGAATGATCGCCAAAATCCTCGTTGTCAGCAGTGTAGGAAATGTATAGCAAGAGAGCGGGTTAAAGAATTGGTTTCAGAGTGAACTCGTGGAGTAACTGACCAGAGTATGTGAGGTGATTTTTAAATAGCAAGAAGTCTAATAATTCACTACAGCCATACTCATCGGAGGAACAAAACAAGGGAATCACCTCACCATTACTCCACCTCAATCCTACGCGCACAGAAAATTGCAGGCCTTTAACGTCACTACAAAACAACTAAAGAGACTACTAAATAGATCTATCTTTAAGTTAGATTTGTTTCTCGATTCTCGCCAAAAGTTTTCTTACAAATCGTTGGTAACTTTTCTGGATGCAGAGTAAAACAATGCCACCTAAATTAAGACAACTCTCAGTTTTTTTTTCCAATTCCAAAGTTTGTTCAGTTTATTTCTTCTCTTCCTCATCTTCTCCTTCAGTCTGTTTTGCAAAGTACTTCTTCTTTTCTGTTGGATCAGGTATGATCGTCTCTTTACCAGGCTTCCAACCGGCCGGACAAACTTCCCCGTGTTTGTCAGTATATTGGAAAGCCTGGACTAAAACGTAAAGTCTCGTCGACTGATCGGCCCACCTGCGAAATAACCAGTTTAGATTTACTTCTTTGAGTAGCTAAGTTATAAATAGTACTTCACACTTTATAAAGCCAAAGACCGCGAACCGCAAAAAAATCAGGAGACTGGACACCAGGAGCCTTTTTTCTTGATACTATCTACTAAGCTTTTTTTCTCCCTTGTCCAAATCAAAATCGAAATATCACTATTTTTCAAATGAAATAATAAAAACGTCACAAAATAAAAGGAAAGGGATCCCCACTGCTTAACACTTAAACAATGAGCTTGAGATTTTTACCACGTGACAGTGGACGAGGGCCAGACTCGAATCAAATTATATGAACGGACAGATAAATTTTCTCAGCGTATCAAGAACAATTAACTGTAGAAGCAAACAGCTACATAAAACTCGCAGTAGAAATTCACGGTACAATTACAGTCATACATGTAAAGTTACAACATACCGGTAGATCATTCATTGTGATCTGTCGTAGAGTCCCTTTGTCATCGATTATAAATAGACCCCTGAAATAGAACAACAGGCATGTAATAAAAGTGGTTATAAAAGTAAGAATATTCTCACCTTAACCAAATCTCCCCTGCCTAACTATCAGACCTGTTATATACCATGAAGGAAGCAAAGTATAGCAACCTGATCAGACCTGGTCTGAGTGTGCTTTTAATCCATGGATGTAATGTCCATTACGGGAACATCTCCCCCCTCCCCCAGCTCCCCTCAAAAGTAGTTATATCAAGGGGCTCATCCGACCAAGAGAGACTCTTCAGTATATGAGTTACGTTTTTCTTAACTATGTGGTGTGACAGCCAACAATGCAACAAGATAATGCCAGTCAGGTGCTCAAAACTGGATATCTTGATCCAGGGTAGTAGCACTAACAAAGAAATGTTCAGCTTTTAGAAATCAAGAATAGGTAGATTGCAGATAATGAAATACTTTGTTCAAGTAGATATGGTCTATTAAATGATCATCATTATCATCATCATCATTACATCAAATAAGTTTTTTTGGTACATACCACACAGATGAATAATGCTTATTGTGTGCTCTGATTGGCTGGCTTGAAAGTGATTAACAAGTACTCTTCCCCTTCAAGCAGCCGAGGCAACAGAATCATGCATCAAAAATTTAATTTCCAACCATTTCTTTGTATATTGACAGAAATGTACTGATTTTTTAAATTTCTGTGTGGTATATACAGTGTACACGCTAATACAATTATTTACCTCACTGTAGGTGAAAGTGGTAAATATTTACCTAGCTGCTTTGCAGCTCGGTTAATATCCCCAGCTATTTCACCTCCACTTTGTTGAATAATGTTTATTATTCCAAGAGGATCACAGCTGATAAACACTAAACACATGTTTAAATAGAATGGCCTACAGACACAAAAAGTCAGAAACATGAGGAAATACAAAACACAGATATCCTCACCTTAAGGTGTGACCTTCATTCTCAAGCAGTACTCCGTAATCTTTAGCAATTTGGTGGTTTAAGTCAGATAACAGCGGATATTTAAGCCTTCCCAGACCACCCTCTTTCCTTGGAGTGTTTATCCTAGAATTGAAAGGAATATAGGAACTTATTTATTGCTTCTGGTACCTCTGGGAATTCTTAACAATTCAACAGGTACAAGGATTGCTCTACAGTAGATATTTTGAGAATTCCTTAAATTATCAATCATGCTTAAAATAAGGGTGAACACTGCTGTAGCAATATATATCTTTGTGATTACCCATGGAATCATTCAAAAGTTCTCTCCTGGATGACTATATTGTAATAATCAAACACTTTACACAAACATGTAGAATGAATGTAACTTAAAACTGGAATACATTTTGTGGTAGATTTTTTTTACCAAAAATGGAAATTTTTCCTTTTTACTTTAATATCTGGCATTCTACAAATCTTCAATATAAATTGGAAATACCTTCTCTGTTTTTTTAAAACTCTCAAATCCTTTAAAGTTACAAATTCAGTTAAAATTTAGGATTGACCCTTAAACCCCTGAGAGTGACTAACATCTAATTTCTCCTTACAACATCACCCCTAAATCAAACATTTAGGTCATGAGAATAAAGGAGATGATCACCAACTAAAGAAACTCTTGATTGTTGAACAAATTCTCCTTGTCAGAACTCTTGGAAATGTCTAGAGAGTGGTGTGGAGAATATACATACTGATGTTAGGGTGTAAAGGGTTAACATACCAAGCTAAATGAGTGAAAACTGAATCTACTGAACAACCAACAACTTCAGTGTTGATTGCCCTGAACTCTTCAATTCTGTCACTGAAGGCAATGATCTCCGTTGGACAAACAAAAGTGCTGTAAATGACAACAAATACAGTAGGTATTATTTGTAATGATTCAATTAACAAATAGAGAAGCCTTGACTGTGCTCTGTTCTGTTATAAAGCATGCAGGAAGCGGCTAGAGCACGAAAGAAGTGTAGGGAGAAACATGAGACATAGTCGAATGTTTCTCTCCACTTCTTGAGTGCTCTAGCCGCTTCCTAAGTACTTTATAACAGAACAGAGCACAGTCAAGGCTTCTCTATTTGTTTTACAATAAAGAATCTGTTAAATTCCCCAAGAACTACTTTCAATTTTCAAAACAAACTTTATTTCCAAAGCGAACAACAGTGTCATCAGCATGCTCTATACTCTTATAGAGCACGCTACAATAAGCCAATCAAAATCCCTGTTAGAATGGTTCAAATAGTCTGATTGGCTCTACAAGAAAAAAGCTGTCAAAAGTGTCAAATCATCAAAGTTCAAAAACCATTAAAGTTCACAATCCGAGATAGTTTACAAACTAAAATAGTTCGGCAAGTTGAATTTAACGCTTTTGCCTGAAGTTTTTAATACAGAATCCTCAAGTGAAATGTTCAGTGAACTTCAGCTGAATTATGGCTCATAAAAAACAAGGTAGACAAAAGGTAGAAAACAAACTGTTCTAGGTGAGTGTTTTTTAAATGAACGACAGCCGAATTCACCGGAATATGAAGATTGCTCGGGATGACAGCGTCGCAAAACTCGGCTGCAGTGACTGAAGTGACTTTCCACTCAACGCATCGGAAAGGATATCAGAGCGAGTTCTTTTTTTTTTTCACTCAAAGGGCGGCCGATGTAGTTTCTGAGGCTTGCTTTACTGTGATGACCGGAGATCATCATGATAAGTGAGCCGCGATGGACTTCAGCATGATCATATTTGCTCAGACACTGTCATGATTAGTATGAATTTTAATAGTTATGCCAGTTTGGTTATATTTTTCATCATTTCTGTTTTGTTCTATTTTGTTTTTGAACTCTGAACTTTATATACTATTCGAGTGTTTGCTGTGTTTGATTTTTATTACCGTACTTAAGCTTGCAATCTAACTGAGCGTGAAAATCTTTGAAACTCGGAATGTCTATTTTGTTTTTCCTTAAACGATTTTCATATCTGCTCACGTTTTAATAATGTAAATTACGGCGACTGGTATGTTTACAAACCTTTGTTTGATTCTTCTGTTGCTACTTGCCGGCTCGCTTGTTCCGAAATTTCACTTTCAATTATCGGAAAAAAGCTAAAAGAAGTCCCGGAAAAGGTCAAACATAGTATAATTTGGCAGATGGCGTGACAGCTTTAGCTCAGTTCTATGCTCTATACTCTCATAGAGCATATTATAATTTAAAATAACATGCGTTCAATTAATGAAACTTTTAATATCAGTCACCTTGAGAACAATGTTGACTACTGTTGCAATTGTGAAGAGATGGCTTAAATTTAGGGGGATAGCATGAAGGTAGCAAAGTACAGCAAACTTTTAGTCAAAGAGTATACTAACATCTAATACTCACAAGTCAAGGGGATAGAAAAAGAACACCAGATATTTTCCTGTGTATGAAAAAGTAATATAACAAAAATTAGAATAAACTGGAAGAAAATGACAAATCATCAACAGATGACGAAAAACATCACAGAAACATGCCAAAAATTGAGCAAGGGGAAGGTTTTTCCACAAATTAGAAGGAAAAAAACTGGAAGGAAAAGACAAATCATCAACAGATGATGAAAAACATGTAAACATGCCAAAAATTAAGCAAGGAGAAGGTTTTTAAAGGAGAGAATAATATTTTTAAACAATGTTTCATAAGATGCATTTGGTCTCAACAAGTCACTCGACTGAACCTGCCTCACACATCTCCCAACAGGCAATGCCCACTAACAAATATCTGTTCAATCAAGCCCAGGCAGAGGCTACTGTTTATAAAATAGCACATACAAAAAGGAACATATTTATGAGCATTAAAGTGTCAAACTGCTTCTAGTAGAATTACCAGTAGCTGCATGCAAGATCTTTACAAACCTGTGATTCGACTTCACATAAGGCTCTTAGTTTTCCAAGTTACAGCTGTATCTATGAGCTTACAGAAAAAACTTACCTCTAAAATCAGTAATCTTCAACTCTTTGAATTCTCCATTAACAACAGCAGTCCCTTCCCAATGTGGTGCTGGTTTAGAAACTATGCAGAAAAAGATTCACAGGTCACCATTTTACATCTAAAGGACAATATTTATATCAAAATCAGAAACAAAAAGGGAACACAAAAAAGATTTCTCCTATCAAGAACTCAGATATTCTGGGACTGAATTGACCTTTCCAAACACTATAGACTTTTTTGCTACACTTCACCACCCCTTTCTCTTAAACAAATTAACACCAAAGAGCTGGGTAGCAAATGGGGTTCCCATCCTATTTCAAACACTAATTTTAGAAAAATTAATGCTTCACCAATATTTTAAACAGCATTTCACACATCAAAAAGGGGTTTCAAATCTCCCTTTTAAAGTGCAAGGTTCCAGGCTGGGAAATCTTTAGGTTTTCACAAAATGAAAGAAAAAATGGGATGATTCTGGGAATTAAATGGTGAACCAACATGAATGAGCCAAGACCTATTCTTGGACTTTATATGTAACAAAGACCCAACAATTTTACATAAATTCACACTTAAAACTGCTTTTCTCTCAAATGAAACTTGTAAAAAGGCTATGCTATGAAAATACAGTATGAAAGTTAATAAAGGTTCCCTTGCATAAAACACATGCACAAAAAAACTTAAACTTTAATTTGAGTAAAAATCAGTTGGCTTATAGCTGAATAATTAACAGTATATCAAAATAAATTACCCTCAAGGTCACAAGTTTTTCAATTGTCATCACCTGTTGTTGATATATTGCCATTAAAATAAACTGAACTCCATGCTCATATTGATGACCACTAAGTCACCAGAAATGGAAAACAAGATTTACAGTCTTTTCAAACTTCTTTTCTGTTTGAGGTCCACAAAATGTAAATTTTTTTGGAGGGTTAATTTTTAAAAGGTTACTGCTTTCAGAACTTAATCCTTATCCATTGAGATACAATGTAAGTGCTGACATGTTAATAAAATTTGTTGTTCTTCGGCCAATAACCTAAATGAGGGCAGAATCAGTGAGCCAAAATACATGTACCCAATAAACATTATTAAGGGGAAAACAGAATCAAATTTTTGCATGTATGTATAACTAAGTGATCACATGATATGACTCGTGCAATTTGGGATAAATCAGCAATCTTACATCTTTTAAAGACCACAAATTATATTGCCTGTTTCAGGTTAGCCATTGAAAAATTTACTTGTACTGATTTATGGCATGTGAAATAAATTGATTGCCTACATGTACACATGCACAGTCACAGCCCTTGAATAAATTCTGAACCCAACTAAAGGAATAATGCAATTATTCAACATTTATGACAGGAAAAAATAACAGTTATTGTACAACTTAAAAACTTTTACCTTTCTTGGAAATTACCAGCACTATATAGAAAGGGAGGCTTAGGAACTTCAAACATGTTTCTGTTTTACATCATATTCAGTATAGAGTTACTGTTATCTGTATAAGTGAATTGAGAAATATGATTTTGAAATAAATGCCACCCTGTAGTTTATAGCAACCTTGAGTAAATGCTGCAATGCAAATGCCGAAAATCTAATAAACACCTTGACTTTTGATCAGAGGAGCAAGAAAAGTGAAGATTTGTAAATTTTTCACAAAATAGTCATTAAAAAATTTTTGAGTGCTTGGAAATTTCAAATTCCATGAAAAAATCAATTGATGATTTGTTAAGACCAAAGTTGAGAATGCAGCCTTCAGACTACAGTAGGTACAAAGTACATGCTGCACCAAAATACTTCTCCCTCGCTAAACACGCCATACCAGCATGTACTAGTCTAAGATGCTGTTTTAACACTTATTCCCCAGAAGAAATGTTAGAGCGTCATAATTAAAACTCATTCCCCTAATTTATTTCAATCAGTAATTCTCCTTACTATCTGCCATACAATTCTTATGATGCTAGTTTGAAGAATTTGTCATTGGATCAATTTCAATAATTCCCTAAATGATACTTTACTGTATTCTCATGACTTTTTTTTTCCTTGATACTGTATTGACAATGTAAGGAAAATAAGATGTCTTGGTCACTCATGGGAGTTAAAGAGCTAAGTAAAACACTGAAAATACCTAGCTCAGAAGGCATTAAACAATGATTTTCAGAAAAATGTAGGTATGCTTTAACCCTTTGACCCCTAACAGTGATTAACATGAAATTTCTCCCTACAATAATATCACCCCAGAATCACACATTTAAGGTCATGAGAATATAAGAAATGATCCCCAACTAAAAAGGCTCTTGACTTTTCAACAAACTGGAGTGACTGGCATGAAATTTCTCCTTACAGTATCCAGGGTTCTCCTTGTCAGGCAGTAGCCGGTAAAATTTACCGCTTGTAAGAGCACTTATTACTGCCTGCAAACGCTAAGAACCCCTAAAAAATTGCATTTATGGTGAGCTAATCTGGTAAGAAAGTGTAATAACAAGCCAACAGTGTCCACTATTATAGATCTACGTGTGCTTTAGTTAGCTAACACTGACTGGTACCTTTTGAATTTCAAAGCAAGAGTGATTTTTTGCAGGTTTTCTGCTAAATTTCATGACATTTGTCATTTCTCTGCACATGCAAATGTGGTGTCGTTTAGTTTTTTAGTTTCCACAATGAAACAGTAGCAAACAATACTGTCGGTTCTGTCCAGTAACAAGAGGTTATGAAGAGTGACTGGTAAGCTTTACAAGAATTTTAGGGGTAAACAAAACAAAGGTTAAGTACTAGCAATGGAAAAGCAGCCAATTGCCAGAAATAACCGCCTTAACAGCTCTACAATTGCCCTATGAACACCTGGGGACAAAGCTAGTCTTCGTCGTGAAATTCTACTTGAAATGTGTTTCAGACAATGGTTTGAAAGAAGCCTTGAAAATAAAATCTCTCAAAAGCGTAAAAGTTCTGAATTTGAGACGATTAGAACATGAATTCAGCTAGTCAATGTGATTCGATTTCATAGCAATGCGATTCATAGCTAACACCGCTGATTTTCCAGCAATATGCCATGTAAGTGATGCCAAAGATATCACCCGAAATCGAAGGGATACCAGTTTACGTTATAAGCAGTTTGGAAAGGGCGTAGTCAAATACAATGCTCTTAAACAAAATTTTACTTTGTTTTGTTCAAACTCTGAACCTAAAGGTATATTGTTCACATTATGAATTTTTTGATGAAGAATTTTTGATAGGCGCGATGTACTGTATGCTTTAGGAAATGACAAAGTTGAGAATGACCAGCCGCCTGAAGCTGCAAATGTGCTTTACTGGTTTGAAAAGGTACCCTTCCTGTTTTGCTGAAAACTAGGGAGAACCCTAAGTATCACTCCAGAATCACATATTTAAGGTCATGGGAATAAAGGATATGATCCCCAACTAAAAAAAGCTCTAGATTTTTCAACAAATTCTCCTTGTCAGCACCTTAGGAAATGTATAGAGAACAGTGTGGAGAATATGCATACTGATGTTAGGGTGTAAAGGGTTTAAAAGTACATTTCCAGACTTGGGCTGAGAATATTTTAGCAATGGACATAATTATAATAATAAGGATAATTAAAATTTATATGGTGTACATATATGTAACTATAATCAAATATGCTTCACAGAAAGTAAAAATTCAATAAAATATAATAGAAAATAAATTAAATTTTTTGATGATAATGGCAACCAAGTTAAATCACCTTAAAGTTAAATATAGGCAACTGTTAACAAAACCTTATAATTTGATAAAGAAGATAAAAACACTTCATTACTGAGACAACAAACAAAAAGCTCGGCTCAAAAGGTAAGTTTTGAGATTATGCTTAAAACTAGGTACAGGTCAGCGATGTCACAAAGTGGACTATTCCAAAGGTAACAGTCTCAATTTCTCTGACAAAGGGCTAATGCTCAAAACTTCACCTTCAAAACTCTTTATGGTGGCCAATTTATGTTATCAACTCAGTTGATAATACTATATTACTCTGTTATACTCTCCCACCAATGCAGCACCACAGTTTCCCTAGAAACTTACCCCTTTCTACCAAAGGTAGATGATTGCAAAGGTTCCATCAACATGGAATATGACCTCAGCAAGTTGAT